GCTATATATTACAGTAGTGAGCAAAACTATGATGACAAATAAATGTGTCAGTCTAATTTTTATATTTAATATATAAAATCAAGAATCAGACAGCTTATAATTCAGCTGCATTGATGTTTTTATTCAACATGTTTTGTTTAAGCACGGAAATAAACCTTTCTTCACTTCAGATGGCTGGATTTTCTCACATGTTGTATGGTTGACAATATTTTATCTATGTTCAGTAAAAAAATGAAAAAGTGGTGAGGAGAATTTACTGTGGTACCACTTTACAATAAGACTCCCCTTATAGATAGTTTATAGATACGTTAATAATTCATCTGTAAAACACTTTATAAATCATTAATAAATGTTTATTGTGCAATAAGGACGAGAAAAACAAAACTTAAGTTTCTTAGCAAATAAGACAAATCTGTTCATGTACATATTAAATCTAAAGGTGCTGTATTCAACATTTCAGATTAGGTTACTAAATTGTAAGTACAATAATGATAAACACATATTTTAACATTAATATTGTACTGTATTACTGCATTATAAATATTCACAACTGTCAAAGGGAAACGTATCGTAAACTGTAATACAGTTCACTATTTATTAATGACAAACATTTGTAAATGCCAAAAGTTAGTCTTTATTCTGAAGAATCACCATTTTTAAAACTTTGTGTTGATTATCAATATTTGAAATTATTTTTCAAACATGTACCGGTAACTACTGTCAAAAATGATGATGAATCAAAAAAGTACAAAAGCATCATGTTAACACACTAAATAAGCCCACAACATCCAAAATAGTGTACAGTTTTACACTTTACAAYAAGGATCCCTTTAATATTTGTGGACATTTATAATGCAGGAATACAGTACAATATTATATGATGAAATATGTGTTTCCTAATCATTATTGTGCTTACAAGGTAGTAAACTCGTCTGAAATGTTTTAATACCAAACAGATTTGGCTCAGTATTTGGAAAGAAACCACACAGTTTAGTCTATTTTTTGAGCTTAATKAATGCATAATAAACACTTATTAATAATTTATAAAGTGTTTACAGATAAATTAATAACATTTCTATAAACTCTTTAAAAGCCATCTATAAGAGGAGCCTTATTGTAAAGTGGTACCCTTTTTAAAAAATGTATTATATTACAAGTGTTTGAACATGTATGACTGGTTGAATGTAAACACCTTGCCAAAACTGGGGATTTGTGTGAAAGGATGTTGAACAAAGACTTGGCCCCTCTGTGAATATTGTGGCCCCTTGATGGCCCCTTGCTCAGAAAAATCCTTGATCTGCCCCTGGCTGCGCTGCTGTAGAGACCCCTCCTGCTGTAAAAACAAACGAGAAAAGTTTTACTCAAAGTAAATGATGAATGACTTTTTACTTTTACTTGAGGTAAAACAGGTAACTTGACTTGCACTTGAGTAAAATTTGAACAGAATAATAATAATACTTGTTGAAATGTTGTTTCTGGCTCAGCAGAGTCTTCTGTTTGTTTACTGTGTGYTTTATTTAAATAAGTTGTTAAAAACAGTGAAAACTTCAGTTTATACACTCGTCATTCTAGGATCAAAGATGCTAAAGTTTGATTATTAGAATGTTCTTTGTCTTTTTGTCCACAGTTTGCTTGCCTGAGCATCACCTTCCCTCTCTTTTGCCACTTGAGTCGCCGAGGAYTGGGGTACCAGTGAAGAAGGCCCATGAAAGGTTTTCTGTGAYGGCAGGAACCAGCAGACTTCTTGTGCCTGTGTCAGCAGCTCCTGGAGTGGTTCACAATAAAAACCTGTTTTTAGGACAGTCATGAGCAGAGSATCAACAGCTTGATTTATCTTATTGATTCTGATTATAAAAATGATTTGCAATGATTAAAAATGGGTTTCAGTACTTCCTCAGATTAATCAGTAAGTATTAAAACTAATTAAATGTTGGTGTAAATTTGATCTAAAAATGGCCACCACAGCTTACCAGACCTTAGCTAACTAAAARTAACTCATTCAATATTACAGGTGTTGAAATACAACTTTGGTGTGGTAGTAGYGGAGAGTCACCCAAAACACACACTCCCAAGTGCTAACAGAAAGCTTTATAATGCTTTATGTATTATAGCTTTATACATACATACATACACATACATACATACATATATAT